CCTATGGGGTCTCTTCCAGGTTATCTGGGATTCCTGGGACCTCCAGTACTCACAGGGTCCCTGCTGGATCTTCCAGGATTCCTGAAACCTTCAGTACTCACAGGATCCCAGTTGGGTTCCAGGATTACTGGGACCTCCAGTATTTCCAGGATCCCTCATGGGTCTTTCAGAATTTCCAGGACCACCAGCATTTACGTGATCCTTGCCAGGCCTTCTAGGATTCCTAGGACTGCCACTACCACCATGACCTTTTTAGCTCCCTGAAATAACGTTGGGCATGCCCTTTGAAGAGGGCAGAAGGACATTTAAGCAATTCCCTACAGCTGCTGTTGGTACTTTAAGTTGGCTTTAATGCTGGGAAGCAAAGCAGCTTTCAGATCACATGACCGCTGTAACTGGTGCTCACAGCAATCACATGATCATTGGCTTTTTTCTCCTGGATCCTGATCAGAAGCTGTGACCTTGAGCTGCTAAAAACAGCTCACTCAATGTGCTGGAAGCATGCTCTCAGCACACAACCTCAGACTTGGACACATATGTGCTATGACAGCATGTTTGCGGAGTGTCACCATAGACTTGAATCGGAGGCATTAAAGGCTTCAAACCCCTCCAGACTCAACATTCAATTTTGAAGGGAAGTGACGATAACGCTTCATGTTTTAATAATCTGAACAGCACTGTGTGCCGTCCATTGTATCATTGCATAGGTGTTCGAAAAGCATTAAAAATGTCCCTCAAACACCCGCTTACAATGCCAGTGTGAACTAGGCCTTACAGACAGCTAAAAAGATCACTGGTGCCATGTCCCTAGCAGTGCAAGGGCCATTGTCCTCAGAATTCTGCATCAAATGGGAAGTCAATCCACCACAGCTCAGAGAACTTCTAGCCACCTCTGAAGAAACCCTGGATGCTTCCTCCTCTCCATTCTACTAATCTCCCAAACTCCCTATTCATCACTGCTCAACCGGTTGTCATCAGATGCAGTGCCTAGTCCTGCATGGGTCTACCTCATAAGAGTGAAACTTAAATAAAATAAAAAAAATCTCTCAAATTGTAAGCTCCAAGGAGCAGAGCTCTCCTAACCCTCTTGTATTGAACTGTATTGTTGCTGTATTGTCTGCCTTTATATTGTAAAGCGCTGAGCAAACTGCTGGCGCTATATAAATCCTGTATAATAATAATAATAGTAATTAGTGGGAAGAATAGTGCCCATCATTGGTATTAGTGGGAAGAATAGTGCCCATCATTGGTATTAGTGGGAAGAATAGTGCCCATCATTGGTATTAATGGGAAGAATAGTGCCCATCATTGGTATTAGTGGGAAGAATAGTGCCCATCATTGGTTTTAGTGGGAGGAATAGTGTCCCATCATTGGTATTAGTGGGAAGAATAGTGCCCATCATTGGTATTAGTGGGAAGAATAGTGCCCATCATTGGTTTTAGTGGGAAGAATAGTGCCCCATCATTGGTATTAGTGGGAAGAATAGTGTCCCATCATTGGTATTAGTGGGAAGAATAGTGTCCCATCATTGGTATTAGTGGGAAGAATAGTGCCCATCATTGGTAATAGTGGGAAGAATAGTGCCCCATCATTGGTTTTAGTGGGAAGAATAGTGCCCATCATTGGTTTTAGTGGTAAGAATAGTGCCCCATCATTGGTTTTAGTGGGAGGAATAGTGCCCCATCATTGGTATTAGTGGGAAGAATAGTGCCCCATCATTGGTATCAGTGGGAAGAATAGTGTCCCATCATTGGTATCAGTGGGAAGAATAGTGCCCCATCATTGGTTTTAGTGGGAAGAATAGTGCCCCATCATTGGTATTAGTGGGAAGAATAGTGCCCCATCATTGGTATCAGTGGGAAGAATAGTGCCCCATCATTGGTATCAGTGGGAAGAATAGTGCCCCGTCATTGGTATCAGTGGGAAGAATAGTGTCCCATCATTGGTATTAGTGGGAAGAATAGTCCCCCATCATTGGTATTAGTGGGAAGAATAGTGCCTCATCATTGGTATCAGTGGGAAGAATAGTGCCCCATCATTGGTATCAGTGGGAAGAATAGTGGCCCATCATTGGTATCAGTGGGAAGAATAGTGCCCCATCATTGGTTTTAGTGGGAAGAATAGTGCCCCATCATTGGTTTTAGTGGGAAGAATAGTGCCATCATTGGTGTCAGTGGGAGGAATAGTGTCCCATCATTGGTTTTAGTGGGAGGAATAGTGTCCCATCGTTGGTTTTAGTGGGAGGAATAGTGTCCCATCGTTGGTTTTAGTGGGAAGAATAGTACCCCATCATTGGTATTAGTGGGAAGAATAGTGCCCCATCATTGGTATCAGTGGGAAGAATAGTGTCCCATCATTGGTATCAGTGGGAAGAATAGTGCCCCATCATTGGTTTTAGTGGGAAGAATAGTGCCCATCATTGGTGACAGTGGGAGGAATAGTGCCCCATCATTGGTTTTAGTGGGAGGAATAGTGTCCCATCGTTGGTTTGAGTGGGATGAATAGTGCCCCATCATTGGTTTTAGGGGAAGAATAGTGCCCCATCATTGGTATTAGTGGGAGTAATAGTGCCCCATCATTGGTATTAGTGGGAAGAATAGTGCCCCATCATTGGTATTAGTGGGAAGAATAGTGCCCCATCATTGGTATTAGTGGGAGGAATAGTGCCCCATCATTGGTTTTAGGGGGAAGAATAGTGCCCCATCATTGGTATTAGTGAGAAGAATAGTGTTCCATCATTGGTATCAATTGGAGGAATAGTGGCCCATCATTGCTATCAGTGGGAAGAATAGTGTCCCATCATTGGTATCAATGGGAGGAATAGTGCTCCATCATTGGTATTAGTGGGAAAAATAGTGTCCCATCATTGGTATCAGTGGGAGGAATAGTGTCCCATCATTGGTATTAGTGGGAAGAATAGTGCCCCAGGCAATCAAATAGTTAAATGGACTATTTTTAGGGCATGGAACTCCATTGAACCATTTAAATACCATTAATATCTTTAAAATAACCTAATTAATGTTAACCAATTGGACTCAGCCATTAGGCTCTACCATAAGAGACAGAAAAAAAGAAAAAATTAAACATAAATGTAGCACTACCCCCTTAGGGTCACTAGACAATTTGGGTTTCCCTATAGTCCTGCACAGCCAGACATCACACATCTTCACACAGGCTTGCATCCAGGAGTCAGAGATCAGTTCTTGAGCTTTGGTGTAGCTGTTTTATTTGGGGAACTTGAACTGGGATAGGGTTAGGGTTGTACAGGATCTCAATGCATAGTGCGCTGTCCCTGAAAACATAATAAATGCAAGCAAATCAATACCACGTGTCCATGTAAATGTGTCCACCACTGATATATATATATAAAACTTCAATGAAAACCAAAAATATAAATATTTAAATCAATACATAAACAATTTATAAAGAATTCATATACAAAATATAAATAAGTCCCAAAATCAATCGTGAAGAAAAGTGCTCTGTGCTGCGAAACCTCATACAAAGTGCTTCCGTGCTCAGAAAGTGCTCTTCAAAAAAACAAGCACGCCTCTTACCAAAATGAGATGATCTCAAGCCATAGAGATCAAGTAAGCATATGCATCATAACCCCAGACTGGCACTTTCTCTGAAAAACCACCGGAGAAATGGCTGCATTCGCCTAAAAGGTTTGTGGTCCCACCGAGAGTCCACTCTAGTTTCCAGTACCACTCATCATAATGGCATAGAAGTATTAAACAAGGAGAAGCCTCATAGTGCAGTATAATTAAAAAAAAAAACAACTATTTATTAAAATGTATTGTACTTACAATCAGGTGAATAGAACAGGCAGTGTACAGCAATTGGCAATCGTTCGGCCACGGTCTCAGTGTGCATGCCTGTACGTGATGACGTCACACAAAGACTCCGCCCGACGCGTTTCCCCAAAAATGGTGTACTCTGGGATTGGAGGTCACTTGTGCAACATCAGAAGCAACAGTCACAATATGAAACCATGAGCTCAATATCAGACCAAAGAACAGCTCAAAATGGCAGGAGGAAAATATAAATAGTCTGCCAAAAACCAAAAACAAAGACAAAAACAATTTGAAAATATCCTAAAAATGTATACATCAGTGCTTATCACAGTAAACACCAGATCAGCAGACATAGCACCATCTCGTGGTTGCATATGAATAGATAAAAACTCCAAAAAGTACAAAGAATACATCATAGGCATAGTAAGCAATATAATAAAAAGATATAACTAACAGTAAAAACCATTACAATGAAAGAAGATAAAAACAAAAAATTAAAATAGGTGTCATAGCAATGAAAACTCCCTCTTATGTATACAATTAATAAAAAAAAAAAAATTATTTAAAAAGAATAAATTATTATTATTATTATACTGTATAAAAAATTAAAAATTATTATATGTGGCATAGAAAAGAAAAGGGAAAATATATAATAATTTACTAATCAGCGAGCAACCTATAACAATTTCTCTTTTATTATATAACCAATATCTTAATTCTCATTCAACGTTTAGGCACCATGGTTGATGGGTCTTAAAGTGTTACTAAACTCACAACAGTAAAAATCAGTCTGTAGATGCAGTAAAGCATGCTTGTTATAGTCACTATGGAACCTAAGGGGTTAATCCTCTGCACTGTGTAAAAAGGCTGTTTGACCCTTTCTTTGATGATCCTCCCCTTTTTCATGCAACCGCCTCTTATCTCCTGATAAGACAGACTGAACTATAGGCATTTTGCACATGCTCAGTTTGGTGTGTAATGCTAGAGAGGTTTTTTTTTTTCTTGGGAGAGTGCATGTGATTAGCACAGGGCCGATCAGCACTGATCAGACAAAGGTCAGGGGTCCTGCATCCTCCTAGAGCAGAATGAAAACTCCTCCTACAAGCTTTAACTAGTGTATGGCTGAACACTGATAGAAGCCACAAGACTGCTCTGACTGTTGATGAGAAAAGGTATTTAGCTATTTATATTTACTAAAATAATTGCATTTCTATGTTCTGTGTACTGTGGGAGACCATATATAGTGAATGCAGGGTCCAGGGAGAGCAGATATAGTGAATGCTGGGTCCGGGGAGACCAGATATAGTGAATGCAGGGTCCGGGGAGACCATATATAGTGAATGCAAGGTCCTGGGAGACCAGATATAGTGAATGCAGGGTCCGGGGAGACCAGATATAGTGAATGCAGGGTCCGCAGAGAGCAGATATAGTGACTTCAGGGTCCAGGGAGAGCAGATATAGTGAATGCAGGGTCCGGGGAGACCGGATATAGTGAATTCAGGGTCCGGGAGACCAGATATAGTGAATGCAGGGTCCTGGGAGACCGGATATAGTGAATTCAGGGTCCGGGGAGACCAGATATAGTGAATGCAGGGTCCAGGGAGAGCAGATATAGTGAATGCCGGGTCCGGGGAGACCAGATATAGATAAATTGTCATTTGTTGTGTTTGCAGCATATTTACTGAAATCAAAAGCTATTTCAATCAAACTTTTAACAACATTTTAACTTTTTTAAACATTTGAACCGGTCACGTTACATTTTAACATAGGACCCCTTATTTGATAGCAGCTTCACAAGTCTTGCATCCATTGAATTTTTTTTCAGTTTTTGGACAGTTTCTGCTTGAATTTGTTTGCAAGATGTCAGAATAGCCTCCCAGAGCTGCTGTTTGGATGTAAACTGCCTCCCACCCTCATAGATCTTTTGCTTGAGGATGCTCCAAAGGTTCTCAATAGGATTGAGGTCAGGAGAGGATGGAGGCCACACCATGACTTTCTCTCCTTTTATCCCCAAAAGCAGCCATTGATGCAGAGGTATTCTTTGCAGCATGAGATGGTGCATTGTCATGCATGAAGATGATTTTATTACGGAAAGCATAGTTCTTCCTTCTGTACCAGGGAAGAAAGTGGTCAGTCATAAACTCCACATACTTTGCAGAGGTCATCTTTACACCTTCGGGGCCCCTAAAGGGGCCGACCAGCTCTGTTCCCATGATTCCGCCCAAAACATGACTCCACCACCGCCTTGCTGACGTCACAGCCTTGTTGGAACAGGGTGGTTGTCCACCAACCATCCACTACTCCATCCATCTGGACCATCCAGGGTTGCACGGCACTCATCAGTGAACAGGACTGTTTGAAAAATTAGTCTCCATGTATTTTTCTGCCCAATGCAGCCGTTTCTGCTTGTGAACATTGGTTAGTGGTGGCCGAATAGAAGGTTTATGCACAGTTGCAAGACTCTGGAGGACTCTACACCTTGATGTAAAAAACTCCAGAGGCACCAGCAGCTTTCAAATATCTGTTTGCTGCTATGTAATGGGATTTTAGCAGCTGCTCTCTTGATCCGATGCATGGATCTGGCAGAAATCTTCCTCAATGTACCTTTATCTGCACCAACCCGTCTGTGCTCTGAATCAGCCAAACATTTCTTAATAGTGCGATGATCACGCTTATGTTTTCGTGAAAAAAAAAAAAAATACCTCGTCCAAGGCATCGAACTATTTCACTCTTTTCGGAGCAGAGAGATCCTTTGTCTTCCCCATATTGCTTGAAAATGGTGCTCTGCTTAATAATGTGGAACACCCTCCTTTAGTAGTTTTTCTTTAAATTGGGCTCACCGGCCAATCTAATTATCACAGGTGCCCAAGATTGTTTTCAGTGATAAAAAGAGCCCCTGACACACAATGCCATCCATGAGTTACACTGAAAAAAAAAATATTTCATCTTTGTGACACTTAAATAGAATTTGCATAATAATTTGGAACGCGGTGTATTTAGACTCTCATTAAGCAGAAGTCTAGATTTCATTGTGTTGAAATAAATAATTGCAAATCTTCATCAGAAGCTCATTTGACAACATAGGAGCACAGTTAGGATAAAGGGACAGAGTGTTGTCACCCTTTAACAAAAGTTGCAGATTGAAAAAAATGTATTTGTAGTCCAAGCCAAGAGAGCAGATTAGGTTACAACCATGGCTCCCTCCACAGATACAGTGAAGGAGTGAGCATGGTCACCCAGACACAAGAACTATATTATTTGGGTGAAAATAAAAAAAAACTTCAAAAAAAAAAACTAATGAAGCCATCTTAAAAAAGGACTGCTAAACTAAAAATATTACATATTGGTTTGGGGTTTAGGTACACTTTAACTGTTGAAAAAAGTGTTGGTGGTGAGAAAAAAGAGGACACCACAGCTGGAGCTGATTTATAAGATTTTAAAAAACAAAAAAAAAAAAAAAAAAAAAAAAAAAAAAAAAAAAAAAAAAAAAAAAAAAAAAAAAAAAAAAAAAAAAAAAAAAAAAAAAAAAAAAAAAAAAAAAAAAAAAAAAAAAAAAAAAAAAAAAAAAAAAAAAAAAAAAAAAAAAAAAAAAAAAAAAAAAAAAAAAAAAAAAAAAAAAAAAAAAAAAAAAAAAAAAAAAAAAAAAAAAAAAAAAAAAAAAAAAAAAAAAAAAAAAAAAAAAAAAAAAAAAAAAAAAAAAAAAAAAAAAAAAAAAAAAAAAAAAAAAAAAAAAAAAAAAAAAAAAAAAAAAAAAAAAAAAAAAAAAAAAAAAAAAAAAAAAAAAAAAAAAAAAAAAAAAAAAAAAAAAAAAAAAAAAAAAAAAAAAAAAAAAAAAAAAAAAAAAAAAAAAAAAAAAAAAAAAAAAAAAAAAAAAAAAAAAAAAAAAAAAAAAAAAAAAAAAAAAAAAAAAAAAAAAAAAAAAAAAAAAAAAAAAAAAAAAAAAAAAAAAAAAAAAAAAAAAAAAAAAAAAAAAAAAAAAAAAAAAAAAAAAAAAAAAAAAAAAAAAAAAAAAAAAAAAAAAAAAAAAAAAAAAAAAAAAAAAAAAAAAAAAAAAAAAAAAAAAAAAAAAAAAAAAAAAAAAAAAAAAAAAAAAAAAAAAAAAAAAAAAAAAAAAAAAAAAAAAAAAAAAAAAAAAAAAAAAAAAAAAAAAAAAAAAAAAAAAAAAAAAAAAAAAAAAAAAAAAAAAAAAAAAAAAAAAAAAAAAAAAAAAAAAAAAAAAAAAAAAAAAAAAAAAAAAAAAAAAAAAAAAAAAAAAAAAAAAAAAAAAAAAAAAAAAAAAAAAAAAAAAAAAAAAAAAAAAAAAAAAAAAAAAAAAAAAAAAAAAAAAAAAAAAAAAAAAAAAAAAAAAAAAAAAAAAAAAAAAAAAAAAAAAAAAAAAAAAAAAAAAAAAAAAAAAAAAAAAAAAAAAAAAAAAAAAAAAAAAAAAAAAAAAAAAAAAAAAAAAAAAAAAAAAAAAAAAAAAAAAAAAAAAAAAAAAAAAAAAAAAAAAAAAAAAAAAAAAAAAAAAAAAAAAAAAAAAAAAAAAAAAAAAAAAAAAAAAAAAAAAAAAAAAAAAAAAAAAAAAAAAAAAAAAAAAAAAAAAAAAAAAAAAAAAAAAAAAAAAAAAAAAAAAAAAAAAAAAAAAAAAAAAAAAAAAAAAAAAAAAAAAAAAAAAAAAAAAAAAAAAAAAAAAAAAAAAAAAAAAAAAAAAAAAAAAAAAAAAAAAAAAAAAAAAAAAAAAAAAAAAAAAAAAAAAAAAAAAAAAAAAAAAAAAAAAAAAAAAAAAAAAAAAAAAAAAAAAAAAAAAAAAAAAAAAAAAAAAAAAAAAAAAAAAAAAAAAAAAAAAAAAAAAAAAAAAAAAAAAAAAAAAAAAAAAAAAAAAAAAAAAAAAAAAAAAAAAAAAAAAAAAAAAAAAAAAAAAAAAAAAAAAAAAAAAAAAAAAAAAAAAAAAAAAAAAAAAAAAAAAAAAAAAAAAAAAAAAAAAAAAAAAAAAAAAAAAAAAAAAAAAAAAAAAAAAAAAAAAAAAAAAAAAAAAAAAAAAAAAAAAAAAAAAAAAAAAAAAAAAAAAAAAAAAAAAAAAAAAAAAAAAAAAAAAAAAAAAAAAAAAAAAAAAAAAAAAAAAAAAAAAAAAAAAAAAAAAAAAAAAAAAAAAAAAAAAAAAAAAAAAAAAAAAAAAAAAAAAAAAAAAAAAAAAAAAAAAAAAAAAAAAAAAAAAAAAAAAAAAAAAAAAAAAAAAAAAAAAAAAAAAAAAAAAAAAAAAAAAAAAAAAAAAAAAAAAAAAAAAAAAAAAAAAAAAAAAAAAAAAAAAAAAAAAAAAAAAAAAAAAAAAAAAAAAAAAAAAAAAAAAAAAAAAAAAAAAAAAAAAAAAAAAAAAAAAAAAAAAAAAAAAAAAAAAAAAAAAAAAAAAAAAAAAAAAAAAAAAAAAAAAAAAAAAAAAAAAAAAAAAAAAAAAAAAAAAAAAAAAAAAAAAAAAAAAAAAAAAAAAAAAAAAAAAAAAAAAAAAAAAAAAAAAAAAAAAAAAAAAAAAAAAAAAAAAAAAAAAAAAAAAAAAAAAAAAAAAAAAAAAAAAAAAAAAAAAAAAAAAAAAAAAAAAAAAAAAAAAAAAAAAAAAAAAAAAAAAAAAAAAAAAAAAAAAAAAAAAAAAAAAAAAAAAAAAAAAAAAAAAAAAAAAAAAAAAAAAAAAAAAAAAAAAAAAAAAAAAAAAAAAAAAAAAAAAAAAAAAAAAAAAAAAAAAAAAAAAAAAAAAAAAAAAAAAAAAAAAAAAAAAAAAAAAAAAAAAAAAAAAAAAAAAAAAAAAAAAAAAAAAAAAAAAAAAAAAAAAAAAAAAAAAAAAAAAAAAAAAAAAAAAAATAAAAAAAAAAAAAAAAAAAAAAAAAAAAAAAAAAAAAAAAAAAAAAAAAAAAAAAAAAAAAAAAAAAAAAAAAAAAAAAAAAAAAAAAAAAAAAAAAAAAAAAAAAAAAAAAAAAAAAAAAAAAAAAAAAAAAAAAAAAAAAAAAAAAAAAAAAAAAAAAAAAAAAAAAAAAAAAAAAAAAAAAAAAAAAAAAAAAAAAAAAAAAAAAAAAAAAAAAAAAAAAAAAAAAAAAAAAAAAAAAAAAAAAAAAAAAAAAAAAAAAAAAAAAAAAAAAAAAAAAAAAAAAAAAAAAAAAAAAAAAAAAAAAAAAAAAAAAAAAAAAAAAAAAAAAAAAAAAAAAAAAAAAAAAAAAAAAAAAAAAAAAAAAAAAAAAAAAAAAAAAAAAAAAAAAAAAAAAAAAAAAAAAAAAAAAAAAAAAAAAAAAAAAAAAAAAAAAAAAAAAAAAAAAAAAAAAAAAAAAAAAAAAAAAAAAAAAAAAAAAAAAAAAAAAAAAAAAAAAAAAAAAAAAAAAAAAAAAAAAAAAAAAAAAAAAAAAAAAAAAAAAAAAAAAAAAAAAAAAAAAAAAAAAAAAAAAAAAAAAAAAAAAAAAAAAAAAAAAAAAAAAAAAAAAAAAAAAAAAAAAAAAAAAAAAAAAAAAAAAAAAAAAAAAAAAAAAAAAAAAAAAAAAAAAAAAAAAAAAAAAAAAAAAAAAAAAAAAAAAAAAAAAAAAAAAAAAAAAAAAAAAAAAAAAAAAAAAAAAAAAAAAAAAAAAAAAAAAAAAAAAAAAAAAAAAAAAAAAAAAAAAAAAAAAAAAAAAAAAAAAAAAA